TACACCCCGGCCGCTGGCGCGGTGTCCGCCGTCCGGCCGTCACGAGGAGTGACGTTGTAGAGGTGGACGGCCTCGGACACAGGGCACCGCCTCCTAGCCGCGATCACCTTGACAGTTCGATGGCACCGTTCCACTACGCCATTGCCGCCCGGCTCGTGCACGGCGCGGAATCTCAGGGCAATGCCCCACCGTGCCACGAGCGAGGCGAGTCGCCGGCCCCGAAACACCGTGTCATTGTCCGCCAGTATTTCTTTGGGCGCGCCGCGCTCAAAGAAGATCTGTTCCAGGTGGCCGGTGACCTCCACTGCGTCGGCACGGCCGAGCGGGCGCCAGACGGTGAACCGCGTGGGCCCGCAGTCGATGACGGTTAGGTAGCTCCGCCCCTGGTGGTGGGTCACGTCCATCGCGACGCGCTCCCATACTGCCGCCACCTCTAGCGAGCCGTGCCGCCACCGCACAGGCGCCGGGTCTATCGATCGGCACACATCACAAGTCGTCACGACCGCGCGCACCAGAGCCCTCGTCACGTCTCGAGACACATCTCGCCGCGCGAAAAACAGCGTCCGACGAACGCCAGGGTGACCGGCCCGCTCGTGCACCGATTGCACAGACGACCTCACGGCATCTGCAGCACCAGCACCAACGACCACCTGCCCACGGGCGGCCGAGTCGCCGGCTCCGTCATCGGCCGTCACCGACATCCTGCTCTCTTCACACTCGTCACGCAGCCACTCCTTCGGCACTCGCGTCAGGGCGTCGGCGAGGTTCTCCTCCGAGCGAACTAGCGTGACGGTGACCTTGAGCTCCAGTTCGTTGGCTAGCTGTCGAATGAGGTCGACACGGCGTCTGATTAGCATCTCACCGGCCGCTCTCGTCCGGAGGCGGGCGCGGCCGCTGAGCGCGTCGTCCACCCAGCGGTGCACTGTCGCCGAGTCTGTCCTTAGGTCGATGTTTGTCACGCCCCACGCCACGGCCAGGTTCAAGCCGCGAACGGCGGCATCCAATTCGGCCATGTTTATGTGGGTCGCTGCGGCATCGCCGGGCCGGAGCCAGCAGGCGTCCTCCATCACGCCACCGCACGGTGTCTCGATGACCACTCCAGCCGCGATCGAGCTGGCGTCTGTCCAGACGATTGCCTGATCCCCGGTCCAGCACCACTGGCCCCGCGCCGGGTCCGCCGCTAGCAGCCGGGAGTGCACGTGCGAGATCTGAGACTGCAGGAGCGCGTCGGTCGTGACGTCATCCCAGCCGCGCGTGACGGCATTGGCGCGCCGTTTCACCCAGGCGGCGGCGGGTCGCAGCCAGCCGCAGACGGGGAGGTGCGCCACCAGCCTGCCGCACCATGCAAATACCGATCGGCGCGTCACACGGTCGGGCGGGTCGGGGACAGCACTGTCACGAGACCACCGCAGCTCACCCGCCACACGCCGCACGTGGAGTCCCAGCATCCGAGCGCCGTCCTCAGCGCGTGCCGGTGGCTTGCACTCGAGCCCAAAACGCTCAAAGTGCTCGACCACGTGCTCAGCACTGACGACAGCCTCATCCACAAGCAGGTCGTCCACATACGGACAGACGGCGCGCTCCACTGCTGCATCCTGCGCCATGACGAGCCGCACCACCGCCTTCATCACGGCCGGCGCTACATTAAGTCCAAAACCAAGGCGGGTCAAACAGAATCGCTCACCACGGATGATCACTGTCTGATACGGCCACAGCTTCCGGTCGAGACGCAGCTGCAGGTACGCTCGCCGCAGATCTACGACGGCCACCCGCCGGCCGTGGCGGCGCCATTTCCGCAGGCGGTCGGCGCACACGTCCGAGTCGGCGGTGTATGCAGCTACGTGACCGTTCAGCTCTCGCATGTCCAGTACAGGGCGCACCTTCTTTGCTTGTGGAACGGCCATCAAGGGCACGAGGCCGCGCGGCGGACCGTCCTCTGCTTCATTGTAGGGCTGCAGCCAGCCGTTCCTCAGCCACGTCTCGAGCTCCTCGTCATACTCCTGCCGCGCTGACGGTGGCACGCGGTACTCGGCGACCCGGTTGGTCAGACAGTCTGGTGCGACTCCGTCCGCCCACTTCCAGGCCACTGTCCAACTGCGTGTATCAACATCGAACCTCGCCGTGAAGTCTTTCGCGTCGGCCACTAGCTCCGCGGTGGATGCCCCGCCCACTCTGGGCCCGGGCATGGTATGCCCGGTCGCCGGGCCGGCCGGGTCCTGTGACGCAGTCGCTGCGGCGCTACCAAGCCCCGCCCCCTCTCCGCGCGATGCCGAGGCTGCCCTGGCCGGCTCCACCGCCGCCACCTTGGCGCCGCCTGGACGCGCCACTGTTCCGCCGGTCACTTGGCCTGCCTGAGCGGGGCGATCCGTTGCTCCCTCGCCGCCGCCTGCGCGCGCCGCTGCACAGCCGATCGCCTGCGCTGCCCGGGCCGGGCCGGCCGCCGCCACCTCGCCACCGCCTGGGCGCGCCACTGTCCCGCCGATCACCTGCGCCGCCCGGGCCGGGCCCGCCGCCGCTGCCTCGCCGCCGCCTGGGCGCTCCACTGTCCCGCCGATCACCTGCGCCGCCCGGGCTGGACGCGCCGCCGCCGGCGCCTCGCCTGGCTGCGCCACTGCCCCGCCGTGTCCTTGCGTGGCCGGGGCCGAGCGCACTGCCGCCCCCGCGACACCACCTGGGCGCGCCACTGCTCTGTTGATCCCCGCCGGGCGCACTGGGACCCTCTCTGAAACCGCGTCGATCCTCACATCCCCCGGCCCTTTCACGCTCACTCCGCCGAGGGCGGAGATGCCCGTCATTCCGAGAATCATGTCCACACCCATTGGCCGCGACGCCACCACTAGCACAGGCAAGACACTGTCGCCACCGACGCGGCCAACCGTCACGACTCCCACGCCTAGTGCCTGAACAGCGTGACCACCCATTGTCGTGATCAGCAAGCGCTGCCGGTCCCACTGATCACAAATGTCCACGTGAGCGAGGTTATGCGTACAACCCGTGTCGACAAGCACGTCTCGGAGTCCTCCATTCAGCGGCAACCTGATTATGGGCAGCGCTCCTCTTATTGCGCAGGAGACGGCGCTGGCGCTGACGCACCGCTCCCTGTGCCGTTTCCCTGCGGGCAGCCGGCCGCCAGGTGGCCCAGCCGGCCGCACGCCCAGCACCGGCGCGAGCGCGGCCGTCTCGGGACGCGCGCCGCCATCACCGCCTCCGCGTCCTGCGTTCCACCGCGGCTTCCGCCCCCTCCGCGTGGAGGCGCTGCCGTCGCCGCCGCCACCGTTGCCACGCGGTCGTCACTGAGGACGGCGCGCGCTCGCGCGACCACGCTGGGAAGGTCCAACGCCTCGGCGCGCGAGCCGGCGCGAATCACCTGTCTTGCCGCGTCCGGCAGCCCGTTCACGAATGCACAGGACAGAGTCCGGTCCGGCACGCCACCGAACAGTTCAGCCAGCCGCCGCAGGTTCGCCAGGTAGACGTCGGCGGACTCGCCCGGCTGAAGACGACGAGTGACGAAGGCATCGTAAGCCGCGAAGCTGTCCAGGGCGAACGCCGCAAAGAGGGCAGACTTGACGGCTGCCAGGGAGGCTCGATGATCGACCGGCAGCTGAGCCCACACGGCGAAGGCTCCACCGGTGAGACGCAGGGGGACCACCGCTCCAAAGTCCACGCCACGGTGGGCGCACAACAGTTCCGCGCGGGTCCACCACTCTACCACGTCTGTGGTGCCGTCAAACTCCGCTATCACGCGGACGTCCAAGGCACCCGCGCTCACTGCACTCGCGGACACTGATGGCACCTCGTCTCCAGCCATGGTAAGGCCGAAATAGCTTGTATTTGTCCGATAGCGCGAGACGGGCCACTGCACACGCGAGACAGGCCACCGCACACTCCCAGTCACACAGCGCGAGAGCCCACCCGGTCCTTCCGTCCCCAGACCCCCTGTCGTCCCGCCTCTGACAGTGAGGCCCGGTACAGTCCGGGGCCCGGTACAGCCCGGACCAGGTACCGTCTCTAACATCGGCGCCGGAGACGGGATACCACGACCCCGGTATCACGCCACAGAGTACCACCGAATGACTTGGACTGTGGATTGGGCATGTCATGGCCTACATTTTGTGCGAGTTTCAGCTTGATCGGAGGTGTCCCGAATCTGGGCTGAATCCGGGCTGCGACGTATTGAGTGTCGTTTATTTGCACATTTTGACCTGCCGAGGTCAAACGGGTCACATATCGAAAAGCGGTTTTTAAGGAAAGTTGCTACGGCCTATGGACTACCCGATGATGTGCTTTGATTTGGAATTCGGTCAATCCATCTACTCGAAAACTGCTGTGCAAGTGTATTTTCGACATAGCCCACAAATGACCTTAGGTCATCGCATGACCTTGAGAGGTCTAATGAGTATTTGGAAAGTAAGATTAGATGCTGGCGAGTCGATTGGTGCCATTTTTAGCGCTCTAGCTCTACTGGGTGGGCCACAATCTGCTGTGCAAATTTGGGCCACGTGACCTTTGCTGACCTCTGTAGGTCAAACGGCTGGGAGTGCCACCGAATGACTTGGACTGTGGATTGGGCATGTCATGGCCTACATTGTGTGCGAGTTTCAGCTTGATCAGAGGTGTCCCGAATCTGGGCTGAATCCGGGCTGAAGCTGGGCTGAATATTGGCTGTCTTGATCAACATGCAGTGCAAATCACAAGATCCCAATGTTAATGTTCAAATCCCAAGATCTTGGGACAAATCCCAAGGAATGGCATCGCTGGTCCCAACTCTCAACCGTTCCAACACCGCCAGTTTTACGCCGCAGAGCGAAGGCCACTGCAGCGCATCATACTATTCATTTTTATCTGTTTTTTATACCTGAACAGAAACAGCAGCTTACGATCAGTTTTAAACAAATCACTGCTTTATAAGAGGAAAAAAGTACTGGCTACGCATACAATCGAACACATTTTCAAACATTTGGCAGCGCTGCAGCCATATTTTCATTTATGACGCAGATTTGACAGTATGTGACGCAGACAACATATGTTTGCGCATGTTTGCGTGGTTGTCATAGATATTCTATGGTGGTTGGTATCAAAATCATGTTTGATAATTATATGCAATATATGTTTGTGATATGTTATCAATGCAATGGTTTCAATTTTGGTTGGGTCTCCTCAGGCCAGTCGGTTTAATAGCCTTGGGCCAGTCTACCATGACCAATGGGCAATGACCATCATCATCAATCTTGTTGATTGTACAGTTCAGTACAGTGAGTAGGTTGAGGTATGGTCATGGATTGGATATGGTTGTTGCACTTGGTCGTGTAATAGGTACCTGCTCATTTTTATTTTATCTTCAGTGCTTCCTGGGATGTGTTTGAGTAGTAGCAAAGCAGGCATCATACTTGTTTTTTGCAACCAAGTAGCTGAAAGGTGCTGTAAGTTTGGTTGTAGATCAAGATTTTAGGTGGTGAGTTGTAAGTTGTATAGGTAAGGTAAGGTCAGGTTTGGTTAGGTTTGGTTTGATCATAAAGCATTTCTGGGTATAGCACCTATCCTTGGTCACAAAAAACAAGTGTGACGCCTACTTTACGACTACCCATGTAAATCATGTTTGTCCTGTTTGATGCTTCTCAGTTATGAATTTATTGCTACAGGGCACCCTTGACAAGCTGCTGGATGCATGCTGGTGTATATTGAGATCTGCTCTCATCCCCACTTTTACAACCAGTCATTTTTGTCCCAAAATTATTTTCACCCCTATTCAGAAGTCTAGACTTGTATGCGAGTTATACTTATCATGACCAAATTGAAATGCTTTCCTTGATCTATAATTTGTAAATCAATGAAGAATATATAACAAGAAAATGGCAAATTGATAGCCTAGGTAGGTACCTACCTATTTTAGAAATCTGATAAGTTTTCTATTCTTTTGCAGCAGACAAGATTTGTAAGACCCAATTCTAGTGAGGTTGATATCAAAACAGCAGAGCTGACAAAAGTACACTTTGAAGGTAAACATGCAGGTAAGTCAATTATTGAGTGGTGGATACTTTGGTGGTAAGAACCTACCTGATTGTTTACTGGGATGCCTGTCACTTTGCACATTTGACAGGTGACAGTTGTGTCATATGGTATGCCAGATCAAACTTGAAGCTATTGCCTTAGCATAGTGTTATCATGCCTGGCCTAAGTTAGATTAACTTGTCAATTCTATTATTATAACTTTTTGTCACCTAACACCAGTGCTCACAACTCATCAATCATCCAGCAATGACCAGAGGCCTCTTGCACCAAAATCCTCTTGCACCAATGCTTGGATTATTTTGCATCGTATACCCAGTCCAAGTCTCAAATGTAACAATTTGTGTGCAAAATTTAGCAAGCACATGTAGGATTATGTATTGGGGTATTGCAAATAAATTGACCACCGTTAGATTAGCTAATTCTGAAACCGGTTTTTCGATTTTACCTAGCTAGGTAGTTTGGTGCAAGAGGCAAGAGGCCAAGAGGCAGATCTGACACCCAGAACCCTACTCCTGGCAGGACCTTCCGATCGACATCCACACCAACAAGCTGCTGGACTGGCTGGTGTCGCGCCGTCACTGCGAGAAGAACTGGCAGGAGGCGGTGCTGGCCATCCGGGAGAAGATCAGCCACGCCATCCAGGACATGCCCGAACATCCGGAGATCGTTCGCCTGCTCTCCGGATCACGTGAGGCAATAGAAACGCGCTCGAGATATTGTTTGTTATGATAAAAAATCGTTTACTTGAAACTTGTGTGAGATATTTGATCGTTACGATAAATATCGATCGATAGAAATTTTCTTGCGATATGTATTGGGTGTGATAAAATGCCTTTGATAGGAACTCATTAACTGTTTAAAATCATTACGATAAAAGTAATGTGGATAAAAACTCGTTCACGATATATATTTTCTACGATGAACATTTGATCGCGATAGAATAGAATCGCCGCGGCCGGCACTCGCTAGATCATTATATTTCACCAACGCACATCGTGCCAGTAAGTAGCCATTGACCGATGACTCGATGAAATAGCCACAACTCACGTGAAATGACGAGACACAGAGGCTCTCATTGGTTGAAAGAAACACTTTGTATACCTACCTTGATGGATAATACCATTTTCAAATGTCATGCTAGTCCTTAGGGTCACAACAGTTTACCTCAGTTGAAAGAAAAAAATGTTATTATCGAGAATGTTGCTTTGGTACGTGGGTTTTATTGGATACACTTTCGAAACCTTTCCCTCAAAAGGCTCGTCGTCTTTTTCAGATATCAACTATTACCATTGTCTAAAGATTGTGGACATCCTGAAAGAAACTGAAAAGGACAGTAAGAATCTGTTCGGCTTTTACGGATCACAACGAATGAAAGACTGGCAAGAAGTGGTAAGTTTGTTTGTACGACGATATGGTTGATTGATCTCATTGGGACGCATCTTGTTTGTTGGAATATTTTCGAACCACTTCTTGTCGGCCATGACCCTTATTAAACCCAATTGCAATCGAATAAAGAGATGGCGATGAAGGTAAGCTAATATTGCAAGCTATTATGAATTAGCGGATCAAGTATTTCCACTCAGAAGCTCAACTTTGCGGTAGGTTAACGTCGAGGCAGTTTTTGAAATTATTGATATCTCGTTTCAATTTCACCTCCGATTTTCAGGTGAAGTTATACGCAAATAAAAACGTTGGACTGGCCGAGGCGTCCCAAGCTCTGGTGCGCAATGTCAACTACGAGATCCCTGGTATCAAGAAGCAGATTGCCAAATTAGAGCAAATGCAGACGGTAAGCGATGACGATTTACGTGTGTGGGTGCGGGTGTGCGTGTTCGAGTCCTAGGTACTTGCGAAGAAACCATTGTTACGGTTACAATTCGCTACCGTTCTTTCTTTTCATTCTCTTGCGATAATTTGGATCGACGTACCCACCATTTGATTTCACGGGCTGTAAATTCACACTAATTCAGCCAGATGAAAAGACTGCCAGTGGTCAGTTATTAACGGTTACCCCAACTGTCTCTGCGCGTGTACAGGACTGCGACAAGCGGGCGCAGGACTACCAGCGCAACTCGAAGATGATGCGCGAGCAGTACGAGGCTTCTTGTCGTCAGCTGGGCCTGCAGGGCGTCCGGCTGAAGACGGAGATCGTGCACCTGCTGGACGAGCTGCCGCAGGTGAGGGAGGCGCGCCGGGGTGCCATGGACGAACCGGCGTCGTTTGAGCTGGAGATGGTCGGGTGCGGAGGATCTCTGATGTCATTCGTCTCACTGTATGTATGTACAATGTACATACTGAGCGCCCTGTTACTTTGTCCTTGTTTCGCTTATCAGTCTCGGTCAACGCCTTTATCCCATATATCCCCTATCAGCTGTCGCTTTGTCACGCCGTCTCTCTCTCTCTCTCTCTCTCTCTCTCTCTCTCTCTCTCTCTCTCTCTCTCTCTCTCTCTCTCTCTCTCTCTCTCTCTCTCTCTCTCTCTCTCTCTCTCTCTCTCTCTCTCTCTCTCTCTCTCTCTCTCTCTCTCTCTCTCTCTCTCTCTCTCCTCTCTCTCTCTCTCTCTCTCTCTCTCTCTCTCTCTCTCTCTCTCTCTCTCTCTCTCTCTCTCTCTCTCTCTCTCTCTCTCTCTCTCTCTCTCTCTCTCTCTCTCTCTCTCTCTCTCTCTCTCTCTCTCTCTCTCTCTCTCTCTCTCTCTCTCTCTCCCCCCTCTCTCCCCCCTCTCTCTCCCTCTCTCTCTCTCTCTCCCTCTCTCTCTCTCTCTCCCCTCTCTCTCTCCCCCCTCTCTCTCTCCCCCTCTCTATCTCTCTCTCTCTCTCTCTCTCTCTCTCTCTCTCTCTCTCTCTCTCTCTCTCTCTCTCTCTCTCTCTCTCTCTCTCTCTCTCTCTCTCTCTCTCTCTCTCTCTCTCTCTCTCTCTCTCTCTCTCTCTCTCTCTCTCTCTCTCTCTTTCTCTCTCTCTCTCTCTCTCTCTCTCTCTCTCTCTCTCTCTCTCTCTCTCTCTCTCTCTCTCTCTCTTTCTCTCTTCTTTCTCTCTTCTTTCTCTCTCTTTCTCTCTCTCTCTCTCTCTCTCTCTCTCTCTCTCTCTCTCTCTCTCTCTCTCTCTCTCTCTCTCTCTCTCTCTCTCTCTCTCTCTCTCACTTTCACTCTCACCCTCACTCTCACTCTCACTCTAACTCACTCCTCCCTCTCTACCAACAGGTCTACGGCGAAATTGTGGAGAAGGCCCGCACCCTACGGGAGACCATGGCCTATCACGTTGCCTTCGTGACGTTTGTGAACCCCTCGGTACCAGTGGATCAGCTTCTGCCCACACTACACTTCCTGGTCGGTCAGTGACGTCGGGTCTGTCGGATGGAATCACAGGGAAAACGACAAACTGGCTCGTTGTCGTCATTGTTTGGTGCGCACTGACGTTAAATTACGTGGAGGATGTTATTGTGTTCGTTTTTTTTCACTGGCGTTAGCCGAGATACGCCTAAAATTATATGGAGTGTTTATGACTTTGATGTTTTATGCACCGAGACTCGTTGACAACGTTCCGATCTCGCTATCTACATGCGTATTGTCGCTGCGTTTTATACTTTTCATTGCTTTTAATCCCCTATTTATTCTTGATATTGTTCTTAAATGAGCGATTATTTTCCAATTCAACCGAGCAGACTGGGATCCGCGCATCAAGTCCCGCCTAGCGTAATTTCTTGCGTCGGATTTCTTCCTTCCTTTCTGTTCTAAGCATACATCCACCCTGGCGCCTGTGACTGCTGACCGTTGTGTTTCCTGTCCGATCGGTGACGTCATCAGAGCACGGTGACGTCACCACCTACCAGTGGCGGTACGGGGAGCCGCCACTGCGCGTCGAGCCGCCGCCGCCGGCCATTGACCTCAGCGACGACCAGCCGACCGACGCCGGTCAGGGAGATGAGGTAAGGGGTGTGGGGGGCGGGGTCTTCTGCATAGGGTCACCCTAAGTCTCCCATCAACTGATGGAGGAGGAGACTTTACCCTTGGGTAGGGTAGTAGTTCGTGAAATCGGGCAGGTGCTACTCAGGCTTTTGAGAATGTCAAACTGTGATATTTTGGCCTGATTGAGTGTGTAGCAATAATGAGCGTCGATATATTCTTTTAGGCTCTTCATATGTTTTTGGCAGGGCTAGCTTTCGATTAGTTGTTGAAGTGGCTTTACGGCCTAGATCGGTAAGCGGGCGAGCCGTGTCTGCTGTGTGGGCACGATAAACTTTCAACTCTAAACTCTGTCCATTCCCCGAATGTGCACTGCCATGGAATCCATGGTACTGCCCAATGAAGCGGTAGAGACGAAGACCTACGAGCACAACAGATCCTGTTAACTCAAAACTATAAAGTTCAAATCCATGTTTCAATGTATATCGCTTAAAACAAATGCTCCCGAAGTTCACATCGGATAGTAGTTTGTGCCCAACATTTTTAAGATGCCAGCAACCTCCAAACTTCCCTTTGGAATGCCGTCAACCTATCGCCATTTCTTGGGAAGTTGCTATCGGAAGTGCATTGATAACCTTTATTAACTCCTAATAATGGCATTGGATATAACGCCGACCACAGATTAACCCGCGCACCGACGGGGGGGGGGGGGGTCTGCGCCAACTTCGTACCGACGGGGGGGGGGCGGATGACCGCCCCCCCCCCCCTGAGATCTCGAGAACGAAGCAAGATAGCGACAAGCGGTAAACGGCAAGGGATACGCACGGACAAGGTCTACAATTTTTACTAAGGTCATTTTCAGGTCAGGTCAAAGATGACGTCACAGGGGTCAAAAAAGTCAAAATGGCGGCGCTAGGTATGGAGGGAGTTTTTCTCGAATAACTTTCGAACTAGTCAATATAGGAACAAACTAAGGGCAGCATCGTGATCCTCTCGTCAATCTGCATCGAATGATATATATATATGTTGACCTCGAAAGGTCAAGGTCAAAGGTTGACCTCAGGTCACGTGACCTCGAGGTCATCATGTATATCATTCGATGCGCCTTGACGAGCTGAACACAATGAGACCATCCGCGTGGCTGTATCTTGTTCCTGTACGGAGTTATTGTCAAAAAACCGCTGGTGACCTTTGATGACGTCACGTGACCTTGCAGCTGCCCAACAGCAAAACAGACCTCAAGGTAGTGAAGGTTGATCGTATATGAGGTCATGTATGGTTTATGGGGCCATTCCGACCCGTTTTAGTGGTAAAAACAGGGAGTTGATTTTTCCCCCATTGACTTATAATGGGGAGGTCGAGAAATTGACCTGACCTTAGGTCACCGAATACAAATTGTAGCTACTAATGACCTTATAACATCCTGTGACTTTCAAAGGCCTCCGACATCTACTGTAGCTCTGGCACGGTGACAAAGTTGCAAAAAAGTGACTTGAGGTTGGGTCATTCAAAGTGACCTGGTGACCTGACCTTGAAAGATAGGAGGTTCAAACTTGCACACCATGTGTAAAATTGATGAGAGAATAGTCGTACCAAAGTTCGCGCCGCGGTTTTCCCGCTATTCGCGAAAAACCCCAGGGGGGCGGATATCCGCCCCCCCCCCCCGTCGATGCGCGGGTTAAGATCAAAATCCAACTGCCGCTCTCCGGTTCGCCGGCGGCTGTGTCATTTTTAAGCCTTCCACAAGTACACTGCATTCTGTTGTGTGAAAGATAGCGATTTAGTTACGTAACAGAAGCAGGAGACCTTCGGGTTCCGCCGATATTCGCCGGCCTTGGATCGTGCGATTTTCATCGGCCACGTAAGCCTGGATGCACATGCCCGTAAAAGTATTGCACGCCCAAACATAATCTGATCACAAATTGTAGACACGGTTGACCTGGGAAGATTTTGACGTGCAAGCCTCTCGTGGTGTTTCATAACCCGTGAGCAATCCAAGTAAAACCAGCCATCCTAAGGGTGTTACATAATCAAGGACAGATAGTTACCGTATTATTGTGAATACCTTCGTAGTTAATAGCTACGGGCTGGATTTGCGGGCTGCTTAATTACTTCCCGTTTTGATGGAATGTCAGTGCCATAGTGCTTCGGTTAGTTGCTACGTTTTGAACTTTGTAGGGAAATGGGATCTCGGTAATTTGCTGACAGTTTGGTAAGGACATGATCTGGAATTTGTAACTGTAAAAGTTCATTAGGACTGTGCTCCACAAGAAATCGTTTGGGTCATTCGGTTCGACCCGAACGATTTCTTTGTGGAGTAGTCATAATTAATTAGTTGCATAAGTTTCGTGATTCATTTAGGCATTCAATGGAATTATTTTATCAAAAAAAGCATGACTTCTCGCCTTGACCTAACCATGAACATATGGGTCATCCGATTAGCTATTTTTACGAAAACAAACTGGGAAACTTCTCGGGAACTTCTTACGACAAACTTCTTACAATAGTCGCAGTAATTGGTGTGCTTCGCTGCATTGTCTTCCTTGGTGCTCAATATTATTGGAAATGGTTTGTCAACAACACTGGCTGAAGTTGAGCATTCGTAAACTACCAGTGGAGGAAAGACGCTTTAAACACGCATTCAACGTGTCCCGACGTAGCTTCGAACTAGGCACATGACGCTGATATGTAATTACCCATTCGCGAATACCGGCATTATCATTGAAACGTCAAGAACAGCAAAGAAACCTTCCTAATAAGATCAAACCCAAGTGTGTGTCTCTCATCAAGATGTCCCCTGACCGTGTCTAACCGTTCCACAGATCGACTTTGGCGACGGAGGAGGGATCGATTTCGGTGATGGCGGAGAGATTGACTTTGGTGACGAGGCGGCAGCTGACGCTGGAGGCGACATCGACTGGGGAGGCATCGAGGTGGCGGACGCGGCAGCGCCAGAGGACGACGCGCCGGTGAGTTGATGAGTTTAATGACAGGTGAAGGGATTTAACATTGGGTGGGCTATGATGCAAATAAAGTTCATTTGGTGAACGGGAAATTCTTGACAGGTTTCTATGGTAAGGATGTAACAGTTCGCAGTAACATCTTTAGATCTTATTTGAGGTCTAGTTGTGCTTTAGATGGTGTAACACTCAAACACCCCATTGTTTCACCAAGCTGAGCCGTGGTGTCGATGTGTTTATGCTATTGCACTGCCTTTGACGCACACTGCAGCATCCTCCGTTCCGCGCCAGGTGGATCTGCCGGCGCTGATGTCTTGTCATGTGTGTTTGTCGTGGATGCTAAGCATGTAACAACTTCCGTTCTACGCCAGGTGGATCTGTCGACGGCAGGGGTCGCGGACATCACTATCGAGGGCAGCGGTATGGAGGGTGGTGTGGCACGAGACTCTGAGGCGCTCACACTCCTGGATAATCCGCACACTCGCACACTCATCGTCAACGACCTGATGGAGGTAGGTACACCGCCGGCGGCGTCTGTAAACAGGTGTACGTATCATAGTGACCGGTCTCCTCTGTGAGCTCAACGTTCTAAATAGTGACGTTGTACGTTGTGACAAATGTTTTGGATCAATAACGGTTAACCCTATTAGTGGCAGGCTCCTGGCTACCCCATATTAGTGGCAGGGGGGGGGGGCTGTTTACGACCCCCCCCCTTGATATCTCGAGATCTAACCGGCCGATTTTCAAAATTCAAACGGCATTCGATTTGGCTCAACGAGATCTACATTTCTAAAAAATTAAAAAATGTCAATAGGGGGGTAGAGGGGGGGGGGTAAAAACGGGCAAATTGCAGATACATTTTAGACTGTTTATCACGGCCAGGTTTCTGAACCAATCTTAACGCAACTTTTGCCGATCGATAGAGAATGAACCAGGGATTCACATGGATCCTAAAAATTTGCATTTTCAAAAATCATAGGCGGATACAGATCATTGAGATTGGGGGTACACAAAAAGTATAGTAAATAAGGTTTTTGTTGGTACTGTTTCTAAAAAGGGTGGCAATGGTCTTGTTATGTTACAATTTTCTTATGAGAGAACGACTAAAATTGTATTGGTCATGCATAGGCGGTGTCAGGGCACCTATGTTGGGAGGTAAAAAATAACCCCCCTTTTTGGACGCCTGGATCCGCCTATTATAGCAAAAACGTGTCAAAAGAGGATGCACAATAACTTTGTATATTGACGTAATGACATGATGTGGAGATGGAATTAAATTGATGAAATACTAGGACTTACTCCACAAGGAGATCGAATGGGTCGGAGCGCTTTCAATATGTATTATACATATCGTCGTCAGCGAATCAATAACGGGTCGAATCGAGTCGGGTATCGAAGAGGTTCGGGAGCTGCGCGGCAGAGCGATCACATACTATTCGAATTATGCATTAAAGAGAATAAAAAACACGTGAGAACAATCATGATACACTAGCTGCTAAAATGAATTAAAATGGGGTGCTAAAATGCATAAATGGCACGTATAAAAATACAATAAAGGGGGGGGGGGGAAACAGGATACCTATGGTGATAAAGACTGAGTAGAAAAGACTATACAAAAATGAGTGCAAAAACTGTAAAAGGACGAGTACAAATATAAATACATACAAAGGCCGAACTAGACGTAAACACTACTGACAAAAACGGCGGATTATCGGCAGCCAGCGGTCATGCAGCAGGGCACCCGAGTTCCTGTTCACGTTTGCGTCATTCGGCGACACCAGGACGGCTTCACGCCGACCAACAGTCCGAATATAGGCCGATTCCAGGAGAAGTCGCATCTGGTGATGACTGGCTCGATTCAAGATCTTGATGGCATCGAAAGCAGGTGAGCAGTCTCTATGGGTACTGAAGGCCGATGTATTGGCTCTCGAGCGGACTGCTCCAGTCCAGCTCTCCCGGTGTTCTCGGAGTCTCGTGCCCAGCTCACGATCTGTCTCGCCGATATAGACCATTGGGTCACCGTCCACTTGGCAGGAGCACTCGATCCGATAGATGACGTTGCTCTGTTGTAGCTTAGGCAGATGGTGCTTAGCCTTGCTGCAGAGCAGCGAGCCGATGGTGACTGAAGGCTTGGAGACGAGCTGGATCCCGATCTTGCTGGCCTCCCGTTTGAGTTGGTAGAACAGGGGGCCGGCAAACGGAACAGAGACTCGGACAGGCGCCGGGTGTGAGTTCGCGCTAGGTGGCGCTGGTAGGGCCCTTGCCTTCAGTCTGAGATCGGTCCGAGTCTTCTGAATGGCAGAGTCGATGAATGATCGTGGGTAGCCATGATGATGAAACTTCTGGCGGATGAAGTCAAGCTCCTGCTGGCGGTCTCTCATGGACGAACAGTATCGGATCGCTCGAGTGCAGTCAGATCGAATGGCCGCTCTCAGGTAGCGGGTCTCGGTGTAGGAGCTGAAGGCAGGCACTTGGTTGGTGTTGCAGGACTTCCTGTAGACCTTGGTGCAGAACTTGTCCTGTTTCCCCCCCCCCCTTTATTGTATTTTTATACGTGCCATTTATGCATTTTAGCACCCCATTTTAATTCATTTTAGCAGCTAGTGTATCATGATTGTTCTCACGTGTTTTTTATTCTCTTTAATGCATAATTCGAATAGTATGTGATCGCTCTGCCGCGCAGCTCCCGAACCTCTTCGATACCCGACTCGATTCGACCCGTTATTGATTCGCTGACGACGATATGTATAATACATATTGAAAGCGCTCCGACCCATTCGATCTCCTTGTGGAGTTAGTCCTAGTATTTCATCAACTTTGTATATGTTATCACATGATACCTTTCATTCACTGTTCGTAAAACTGGTGCAGCATCGTGATCTTCGCCCAAATGACTCGCTTCACGAATAGGACCCCCAATTCCCAGTGCTCTGGAGCCGCCCCTGGTAAAGTTATGAACTTGAAATTTTCAGGGAATGTGCCCAATTTAGTTTTAGGAAAAGTCAGAAAATTTCAGCATCGTAGCTTCAGCGGTTTCGGAGATATTCCCGAAAAACCTGAGGGGTGGATAAAAACAACCCCCCCCCCCCCCCTGCCACTAATAGGGTTAAGCCTGAAACAGACTCTCCGCAGTCAGGAAATCGCATGCGAGAGCCTATTCAAATACATGGAAGCCCGCTCGCATCAATCGCACGCACTTCCCGCAAGCGACTGATGCGAGAAGAATTATAATGTATTTGAATAGGCTCTCGCATGCGATTTCCTGAACGCGGAAAGAGTCTGTTTCAGCCTTTAGACGGTTAGAACACAAACTTCATGTCACACTTGCCTCTGGTGCATCCTAACACCTGCCACTACCGATCGTTTACTCTGTTTCTCACGCCTACCTGCAGTTCTACCCTTTCCGCCACTGCCTCACCTTTCTTCACTCTCCGTCCCCCGCCTAACACCCTCGACTTTTCCCTCTCAGCTGGAGACATTCCTGGCGCAGCGCGTCGCCGAAATGTCCGACAGCAGAGAGGACGGCATGGTCAGTATGAGCACCATGCAGGCGGCTCCCCAGTCGGTGCAGCTGCAGACGGTGGACTCAGTGTCTGCCTTCCGAGCGGCCACACGCGCCGTGCTGGACAGTCTGAACACGGTGAAACTGCAGCATCTGTTCCTGGTCAAATCGTCACCTAGGTGAGATTGGTGTGGTGGTGAGGGTATGGGATGGTATGGTTACAGCTGGGGGGAGATATTTAACAGTGTGTGATAGATCGTAACAGATTGTCAGTTCAACAAATGTTGTTGTTTCAGATTGCCAGTTCAAATTGTAAGCGTTTGTTCTGAAAGATTCAGTATTTATTGTTCCTACAGGGTGAGCAACGAGTTTTTGTTTTCTATTTTGTCTTTTGAACACACGTCCTTTGATAGTTAAATGAAATTCGGTATACGGCATGGCCTAGTAGAAATCGGTACGAAAGTACTTTGAGCGAAACACTGCTGTCGCCTCTTCTGCTCAGCGTGGGCCTCACGCGCGTATGTGTTCTGTTGCGCATTTTATGTAAGTTAACTCCTTCCCTCCTGTACCGCGTTTTAGCGTCACTCCCGCCTGCCGGTTTATAGCTCTCATCGCCCTCCTCAGGTACGTGGACCGGCTGGTGGGCTCCCTAAAACAGAAGCTGGAGGTGTCAGAGAAGATGGCCGCCTCAGTGAACGCCGTCAAAGAGAGGAAGAAGGCCGCTGCCGAGGAGGCCGCACAGCTGCAGCCAAAGCTGAAATTGATCGTTGAGAAGACGCGGGAACTGCAGACACAGGTAGGGAGACTGGGGAGGGGGTAGGTCGGAGACTGGTTGGGAGACTGGGGAGAGGAGGGGGAGGTCGGAGACTGGTCGGGAAGGTGGAAGGGATGGAGTATGTCAGAGACTGGCAGGGGGGCATTCCACGATAGATCGACCAAAAAAAAACTTAAAATTTACACCCGCATATTTTATTTTTTGCTTAAAATTGGTCTAATGGGTTGTGATGGGCGGGGAACCCAGCTGTGGCAAGGATTTTTTCTTCGAACAACGGTTTCCGAGATATAGCCTCGGGCAGTTCCTGGAGGTCACGCTGCAACCCTATGTTGGCGGCTTATAACTCAGAAACTATTGGTTTTCTATGGTAAAAACTTGATATGGTTCACTTGCAATCAACCAACAAACGTTTTGGCTATCTCGGATTTTGATTTTCGAAAATTTTGATCACGTGACATCTTGACCTTTTTTTCGAAGAGTGACCTTGATATTTTCCCAACTGAAAGTCGCAATTTTGTCTGATGACGATTAAAGCCTTATCAATTGATATTCATATGCGATAATAAAAAGTGGCTTTCGGCCTGCGTTGACCTCAGGTCAGGTCATTTTTATGACCTTCCCATTATTACGAGCGGGAGCGACAGCGAGATCTCGAGAACAGAGCAAGCTAGCGACAAGCGGTAAACGGCACAGGGTACACATGGATAAGGTCTACAATTTTTACTCAGGTCATTTTCAGGTCAGGTCAAAGATGACGTCACAGGGGTAAAAAGAAAGTCTAAATGGCGGCACTACATATATATGACGTTTTTCTCGAATAACTTTCGAAGTATCCCAGCTAGGAACAAACTAATAGCACCATCGTGATCCTCTCGTCGATCCGCATCGAAACATGTGTATGTTGACCTCGAAAGGTCAAGGTCAAAAGTTGACCTTAGGTCACGTGACCTTAAGGTCATCATATATATCATTCGATGGGCCTTGACGAGCTGAACACAATGAGCCTATCCGCGCGGCTGTATCTCAAACCTGTAAGGAGTTAGCAAAAAACATTTGGTGACCTTTAATGACGTCACATGACCCAAGAGCAACGTCACAGTTGACCAAGAGCAAAAAAGGTCACAAGGTAGTCAAAGTTAGTCGCATATGGAGTCACTCATGGTATATTAGGCAATTCCGACGCGTTTTAGTGTAAAAATAAGGGAGCTGATTTTTCCCCAATTGACATATAATGGGGTGGTCAAGAAATTGACCTGACCTCAGGTCATCGGTATCGAAATTCAAAACGAACTGCGAACGGATTGGTGCCTATTCTACGTCTCTTTCTTTATTAGATCAAAAGGTACAGCCAAAAACGGAAAATTATTGTGTGTTCAACGCGTGACCTCGGATGACCTTTCAGCGGGTCACTGATACAAAGCTGCACCAGTGCCACCAATAATAGCCCAACTCAACATGATTCAAAAGTATTTGAACCGGTCAGATGCGTTTCGGTGGTAGCCGATATTTCTGCCATTGACTTATAAAGGACAGGTAAAAAAATGGCCTGATCTTTGGTCAATGCAGGCCGAAAGCCGCTTTTTTATTTTCGCATATGAATGACAATTGATAAGGCTTTAATCGTCATCAGACAGAATTGCGACTTTCAGTTGGGAAAATATCAAGGTCACTCTTCGAAAAAAAAATCAAGATGTCACGAGATCAAAATTTTCAAAAATCGAAAATCCGAGATAGCCAAAACGTTTGCTGGTTGATTGCGAGTTGAACCATATAAAGTTTTTACCATAGAAAACCAACAGTTTCTGAGTTATAAGCCGCCAAACATAGGGTTGCAGCGTGACCTCCAGGAATTGCCTGAGGCTATATCTCGGAAACCGTTGTTCGAAGAAAAAATCCTTGGCACAGCTGGCTTCCCCGCCTATAACAACTCATTCGTTTATGCAAAAAATAAAATATGAGGGTGTACGGCTTTGGTCGATCTATCGTGGAATGCCCCAGGGAGAATATGGAGGGGCTGGGGTGGGTCAGAGACTGGTCGGGATACAAGGGAGCGGCTTGAATAGCTCACACTGGCGGGGAGACTGGGCATGGGCTGGGTTAGCCCAAAGACTGGTGGGGAGACGGGGTGATAGAGTAGTTAAGATATTTGTGGGGATACTGAGAGTATTTCTGCTAGCCAGGGATAGGCCAGGTGCCAAGCCGACTCAGAGCAGTAACTTCTTTTGGAATAATAGTATTTTTACAGTTTCTTTGTCTTCCTTTATCTCCCACTTCGATACTGAACCTAGGTAATCAATTTTGTGATTCTGTCGTTTGTCAGATCGAGAATTCCATCAGTGAGAAGTACAAGGGGCGTTCAGTTAACCTGATGGGCGGCATCAACGCAATCTAACGACGTGCTACAGTGGCGTCCCTGTCCGGTGAAGTCCCGCGAAGACCGCCTGACAAACTCCGTACGTCCGGAGGCCCATCGGATATTGAGCGTTATCTCTGTTTGCCGGACATGAGACGCGACCGGCTGCCGCTCTAACCGAGTGGTGAAATATGAAATATGTGATTCCATGGTGGCGTGAGTTATAGAGCATTTATTTATGGTTTAGAGGATGACTTCTGGCCTGTTTCTTTTTACTGTGTGAGCGTCCCACGCGGGTTGTATGTAAGGTAAGTCGGCCATGGGTTTTGTTTGTTGGTCGCTGTTATGTCAGAGAATCGGGTTAATATGGTTGTTGCCAGAGTATTTTTATAATACACTTCTGTGTGTACAATAACAAATACCATTGTGTTCTATGGGTGCTCAGTAGGGATTCCAGTGAAATTTTATCCACGAAACAGTTGAACTACGCAAACCTAGAAGTATGTAGATTAGATAGGTGTAAAAAGAAATTTAGTTTTTAGTGTTTAAACTATCCTATGCTATCATCTTCCACTCCGACAAAGCCTTAGTGCCATGAAAGCCATGAGTGTGTTTTAGTAAGAGAATGAAACCGATATTTTCACTGGCCAGTAGAAAGTGAACAACAGTAAAAAGTAACACTCATATTATGCCAAACCATAATAATAGGTTGGTCACAAGAATCGCACATTTGAGAGCGCAGATAGGTAATGTAAAACAGTTCACAGACATTCAGAATGTAGCCATTGCGATGGACAACTATTTGTTTCCCGGAACAGTTCATCGTATGGAGAAAACGCGCATACAACGTCATAGGCACAGCTTCAAAAGCATTCGACACTCAAAGCATTTATGAAGTGAGAATATGTTCATTTTTGACTCTTAAGTCAGTACAGTTCTTCGAGTGACGCTAAGCTCAAAATATGTACTTCACCTCAGAGATAAGTGTTGAAAGTAGCAATAAGTGGCCGTAACAACAGACCATTAGCAGCGTTTCAGGACCATAACTCGTCCTACGAACGCCCGCAGTCACTCCATCGCATCACCGAGCATACATCTCTGACTCTCGCTGCAGCACGTGTGAGTCTGTCGAACGACCTTTCCAGTACGGAGTTTCTCAAAGCGTCTCCTCCGATCCGCGCCCGGGTCGGTATCACATGCAGTTCAGGTTCCCCGCCGTGACAGCATGTGACTATCATCGCCACAGTCGGTCAGTCTGAGACCCATTGCGGTCAGCATAAACTGCGTGCAGTTTATGCATGCTGACCGCAGTTAAACAGCATGCAGCATCTGCGGGCCATGGCCGCTAGCACGGGCTCATCCGCTTTCCGCCGCACTGGCCAGCTTTCCGCCGCACAGCTACTGCTGTATCCCCTTGTCATGACTCATGTGACGCGTTCTCAGCTGAGCTGGGCTCGGCTCATCCTTGTGTGCCCTTGTGTCTCAGAAGAGGAGGTATCGCCCTCTCTATGTCTCATGTATCCAGTCTAAGCGCACCTGCGGTCTCTCTGTTTCCTTTAGCCACTCTCAGCACAGCATTCCGTCTCTCTGTCCCTCTTTTAGCCAGTCTAAGCGCACCTGCAGTCTCTCTGTGTCCTTTAGTCACTCTCAGCGCAGCATTTCGTCTCTCTGTTTCCTTTAGCCACTCTCAGCGCAGCATTGCGTCTATCTGCGCCTTTTTAGACACTCGCGCAGCCTTCCGTCTCTCTGCCCCTCTTTTAGCCGGTATCAGCGCAGCATTCCGTCTCTTTGTGTCCTTTAGCCACTCTCAGCGCAGCATTCCGTCTCTCTTTGTGTCCTTTAGCCACTCTCAGCGCAGCATTCCGTCTCTCTGTGCCTCCTTTAGCCGGTATCAGCGCAGCATTTCGTCTATGTCACTTCCGTCCGTGTCAGGCGTTGCCGGTCGCCGCCGCGCCGGTGTCAGAGGAGACATGACACTGCCAGCCGACGGTGGCCGGTCCAGCGTCTGCAGATACAGATATCGAGCTCAGATACAAAGATATAATTATATCAGACACACAGATATCGAACTCAGATACGGAGATATCGAGCCCAGATACGCAGGCACTTCGCTGAGATACCTACACAGCTGCCGAGTCAAATAGACATTATCGAACTAAGATATGCAGACATCACGCTCAAGACATCTCACTAGCGCCTACCGTATAAGCGGACGAGGAACATAGCGATTGAAATGATGCGAACGATAGAACCAGTTCTGTTTCTCGAAGGCGTCGACAATAGGCGAAAAGGTAAGTATTAACAGTATATTTCACTCGACTAACCAACATTGACGATGAAGCGAAAACAGCATAACTACAAGAGCTCCGTGCTGAAAAATAAGGTTGAATATTTTATTGGTCAATGTTCGTAGAGCTGTTTTTCGAGAAGCTGCGTTGAAAACCTTTACGATAAAATCCCAAACGGATCTTTTTTGCTATTTGTCAATGGTGGAGAGGGCTCACCTGGGGATCTAGAAGCACCTCTGCCGGCGGCGCGACCGGCCCTCCAAGAGCCCCTCCTACCCGGATCGGTGGTAGAACGGGCACTCTACTGCTGTCGCCGTCTGTGGACCGTGAAGACGCAGACAGTCGGATTATATACAAACAAACGGACAGATAGACGAACAGACAGACAGTCAGACGGACAGTCAGACGGGTACTGCACTGTTGTTACCGTTTGTGGGCCGGGAGGAGACTCAATTAGACGGACAGACAACAGACAGTTGTGTCCGCTGTGGCCACTGTATCCCGTTGTAGCCGCTATGGCTGCCGTATCACTCGGTATCCGCTCAGTGCCCGCTATGACTAACCTCTGATAACCGGCGGCGGGCCCGCAGAGGCCTATGTGTATCCATCTGTGTCCTCTGTGTCCCCATGTATCCGCTCACCGCTATGACTGACCTCTGATGACCGGCGGCGGGCCGGCAGAGGCCGGCGGCGGCCGCTGTGTTCTGCTGTGTCCTGACGCGGTCCCCGACGACCGGTGGGTGACTGGCCGCTGGCCACTCTGCACGGCTCGCAGCTGTTCTGCACTAATGAGCTCCCGGCCAGACTGGCGTCGTCTGCGGTCACAGGTCACACAGGTCAGCGGCCCACAGGACACAGTCACAGGGCACAGGTCAGCGGACCATAGCAGACGGGTCACTGGTCAGTAGACCCCAGAACACAGTCACAGGTCACAGGTCAGTGGACCATAGCAGACGGGTCACTGGTCAGTAGACCCCAGAACACAGTCGCAGGTCAGTAGACCACAGTCACATGTCAGCGGACCACAGGACACAGTCACAGGTCAGTAGACCACAGAACACAGTCACATGTCAGCGGACCACAGGACACAGTCACAGTCACAGGACCACAGGACAGTCACAGGTCAGCAGGCATATCACAGGTCAGCGGACCAAAGGACACAGTTACAAGTCACTTGACTGATCCAGGGTGGCACCTGGCAGGTCTCACGTCATTGATTCATGAACTCATGTCACCGACAACATAAGTTTACCGTGGCTCAAGAGCCACGATACAGGTCGCCGGTCTAAGGCTGCATTTCACTCGAGGTGGCGCAAGTCATCGGTCTAAGTTCATAGCTTTCGGCTCGCGGCCCGCGGGCCAATCGCGGGAGAGGCTGAGACCATAAACCAACTGACTGTGATAAGAGCTCACTGATAACCCATGACCATGAGTCAACAAACCAGCTTACACTAACTCAACAATTCAACATCCATGCATGGGTATGATGCACAGGGGCGTCGCCACGGATTTTTGACTGGGGGGACGGATTGGCTGACTAAAAACCCAAAAGTTAGCTACCGTACAATTTCAGGCCTATGTACTACTTGTGACGCATACACATGCTATATTCTTCTCGCGTGGAGGCGTTATTAGTCACACTCTTTTCTACCTGTTCATGAATTAGCAGCGTAAAGCGCCCCGAAAATTGGCAGAAACGCCTGGCAAAACAGCTCCAAAACGCATGAATTTTGCATCCCGCGTAATAAGTTTACGTCATCCCCGAGGATGGGTCGGATAAGAGCTGGAGATTCTGTTGGCTGTGGTGATTGTAGGGATCGTGGTAAGACCAATGTAGGACCATACTACTGAGTAGGTTGAATCCTCCTGGGCCCTTTCAGACCAGGAGGTCCTCCCACACTCAAGCATCAAACGTTCAAAGGCCATGGTGGGACCTACTGTTGGATGGCTTCGAACGGGAGGAGGGCCGTTTGAGAGTGAGCTGAGGGTCTTGACTATCGCGAATATCCTGAAATGTGTCGTCTCTTTAAGCTGTCACCCCACCCTGAGACTTTGGGACCGATCTTAAGCCCTTGTTGGATGTGGTCACCCCTACAACTGGAGCTTTGGCTCCCTATCGAGGACCTGGGACGGACAGTCTAGAGCTGCACCTCGTTGTAGGAAATGTAATCTTTTATTGTGCCAAGAAACGTCCAGTGAGACAAAAGCATCACGTCACAAGTTTTTCACTCTGATGCGAGATGAGGGATGCCGTAGTCGGAGATGGGGTTTGGACTCCGAGGGATCTTTTCAAGCCGGAGTCGGAGTTACCAAAATCAATCTACTCCGCAGCCCTGTAAGCAAGGGAACAGTGCCAGCAATTCGCATGGTTCAATTTGTATAGGTATCTGTCTGCACTTTCATCTCAAAACGACAATAGATCAATTTTCATAGGCCAATTTCATAGGGCATAGGTCACTTTTGATATCATTCATGGGGATATTTTTGCGGGGGAAGTCCCCCGGATTCCTCGACTGGGGGGACGCGTCCCCCCTCCGTTCCCCCTCCGTCCCCCCAGTTTCGACGCCCATGATGATGCGCCATGGTGGATCTATCATGACTCATTTTCCATCATCGGTCGCGTTGTCGCCGACTGAAGGGCGCCGATCCGTTACCATGAGAATAGGAAGCCGCGATCCGCGGCTGGTCCGACCCGCTTACCTGATACGACTGGCGCAGCTCGCTCCGACGGTGCAGAAACAGATACGCAGCACACAGAAGATAAAACCGGCACCCATCAGGCTCGGCCCTATCAGCTTCAGCTCGTTGGTCTGAAACCTGTCAATACAAATAGATGCATTTTGTGAAAAAATTGCATGCCATGTTGCTATAAAAAGCATTAAAAAAACACCGAGCTCAATAACTTTTGTCCTCTGCACGCTAAACCGTATACCTTCGGTCAAATTTCAGACCATCATTTAGGAAGAAGTAAGAACTATAAAAGAGGTAACACGAATGCGCTTTCCAAGACGACGCACCTCTATTTATTCTCGAGTTATGCAAAGCATTTAGAAGTATTGCATATAAAAAAAAATGGGAAAAGGACAGAATGTGCCACATTGCGCACATATTGGAATACACTGAAAAAAGTT